CATAGTGTCTAAATACACAAGTCACATCATAGATAGATAGTGTTGGTGTGATTTGATTTTCATCGATTTACCTGCAAGATGAAAAAAAAAAATGAACAAAAAGATGCATTCTAATAATTGTTATAGAGCAATACTTAAGACAATTGCACAATACTATGAAGATGCTATTGATTTAAAATAATCCTACAATCATGTACATTTTAAAAATTAAATAATTGAAACCTCAATTCTTAAAAATTAACAATCCAAACGCATATATATTGAAATTTTAAAAACATAAAATGCCATAACATTAACTCTAGGTGATATGTTAGGAATTAAATATTACGGGGGAATGCCTAGACCTTGTGGTCTAATGGTACTAAGGTTGGACTCCTGGGTTTGAGCCTCAGTATTGACTCTTTGTGATTCACTAGGTTGAGAAAGTAATTATGACTTATGAACAGATATTACATTGTAATAAAGTCAATAACATTTTAAAAAAATATTATATTAGGGGAAATTGTTAGGAACCTTGTATTAGGATTTTGATGATACCAATGTAATGTAGAAAGTAGACCCCTAACTCTTACGTTTCTCTTGTATCGCCACTTTCGTTCTAGACGAAAGTTGCCATAACTCATATGTAATTCGTGTTAAGCTAGAACAAACACACGAAAAGAGTTATGAATAGAAGATAGGCTGATCAAGACGAAAGAAGACTCCACAGCAACGAAAGAAGGAGTTGTCATTAAGAAGACAGTTCTTTTCAAGACTATCCCAACAAGTATTCTTCTCCTCATCAACAAGAAGAATGTTCTACCTGTCTGATTTGACAACATCCTAGGACAATAAGGACCTCAACTCATGGGACACGCTCTCCAAAGAGCATTTAATGAAGTTGTACTATCTCTGGAGCTAAAAGACAAAAGCCATCAAGTCCTCCATACCTTCAATGGCTACATAGTACAAACCCATTAATGGAGCATTAAATGCAAGAGGCTCCATGGTCCTTGTCCAACGGATAAAAGGTTCGAAAAATTCATCTCCCTCCAACGGATGAATTTTCATCACCTATATAAACCAACCTTCATCAACTAAGAAGGTGCTGGTTCATTATCACTCTACTCACTCTCTTGCAAAAAGTCCTTGAAAAGTTAACAATCTCAAAGCTTTTTGCGAACCAGTTACTTAAGGTGTTAAGGCATTTGAAGTAGATCATCCATCACTGCCCTACATCTTGAAAGAAGTCTTGCACTCTTGAAGCAATCATCCCACACCATCAAGACTTCACAGTTGGAGGAATCAAGAAATACTTTCTTACCAACCTCAACTTAGAAGAAGAAGTTGATAGAGGCGGAGTAAACTCTCGGAGTTGAAAAACCTTCAAAGGCTGTCCGGCTTAGTGATCAAGGAAGTCTTTGTGTAATTGTACTAAAGAGTGATAGTGCAATCCTTCCAGCAGTTGTGGAAGAAGAGTGGAAGTAGGCAACGTTTGGCCGAACCACTATAAAATCTCGTCTCACTCTTCTCTTTACTTACTGCTTTATTTTACTGCTTGCATATCATCTTTTTCATCACTCCTCTTAACATTTTATCAAACTCGTGCAACCCTCACTTTATAATCTTTCCGCTGTGCTTATCTTACTCAAAAGTGTTGTCAGGGTTTTTTCTTTTAAAAACTAAAGAAAAACGAGAGTCTATTCACCCCCCCCCCCTCTAGACTCACCACACAATCTATCGGGACCAACAGAAATATTATGTGATATCATAGGAATTATCTATTTGTTCGCCATTATTGCGTGATATTATAGAAATTATTAAATATCTTCCAACAACTGATTTCCCCTCAACAACTTTAACTTCAAATTTTCTTCGTCATCAATTAAGTCAATTAATTCATCCATCGAATCCGTAAATTTGTGACATTAAATTCACCAAATTAAGACTGCCAATCGTTTAGAATATTAGCGGCAATTTTAAGGGTGAATTAAGGATAAAATAATATTTAATGAAAAAGTTAACAAATAATCATATAATTAATGATAAATTAGAAAATCTTAAGAAAAAAATAAAATCTAATCAATCTGAACCATTTATTTGATTAAAAAATTTGACTGTCATTTTTTTAACCCATTATAGGCCTAACTCTTTTTGGCTCTTATATATATATATATATATATATATATATATATATATATATATATATATATATAGTAGATATGAATTTAAAAATAAAAAATAAAAAATTAACCACAATGTTTCAAGTTGGCCTATTGGTTTTATATGATGGTATTGGTAGATAAAGCACTCTGATGTAATATTCCAATTGTGGGTTAAAGTCACTTGGGGCATAATAGTACTAGGTAATCAAACTAAGTACTCTGATCTAATATTCAAATTGTGGGTTAAAGTCATCAAATTGTGGGTTAAATTAAAGTCACTTGGGGCATAATAATACTTGGTAATCAAACTATTCTTTAACATGATTGAAATGGTTGTAATTTATTTAGTAATATGTTTTTACGTCTTTTGTTATCTTTTACACATTTAGTATTAGTGTAGTGATTTATCTTTATCTTAAAGTTGAATTTGAAACTATTCACTAACATGATCAAATTAAAATGATTGTAATTTATTTAATAATATGTTTTCACGTCTTTTGTTACCGTTTACACATTTAGTATTAGTGTATTGATATATTTTTATCATAAAGTTGAATTTGCAAAATGGAATCAGAAAATTGGAGAGATGAAAAATTGGAGAATTGAGAATGAAAATTAGAAAAATGAAAAACACAGTATTGTAAACGATTACACATTTTCACAAAATTTCAGATGTGCCATTTCCATAATCTTTATTGCTAGACTGCATAAATTAAAGGACATAACAAACCTTCTTGGAGGATGGGCATGGGTAATCTTTGTTTACTACTCCGTATTATAAAAGACATTCATTCTAAGAAATATTCAGGAAATAAATATTGGACTTATATGTATTTTTATTTTTTATTTTAAAAATCAAAGGAAACATACATCATAGCAAATTCGAAATACAATATGAAGGGATAGACTCCCACAAACCAAGGACAGGAGAAAAACCAGTTGCACGTGCTAACACATGAGCCACGTGATTTGCTGACCTTTTGACATGACGAACTAAGATGTTCTCATGTAACAAGCATTAAACGACATTGCTTAATAACCAAACTAACATATGGCAAGTCTTGTTTACCAGAATTAAAACTAGAACACAAATTAAGACAATCGGATTCAATAAAAAAAAATAAGTTTTCTGGCCGATTCTTGATCTAGGATAAAGCTTCCTTAAATGCCAAAGCTTCCGCGAGATACGGGTCGTTATATGTATTTGATTTTATTACTTTTTTATTATCGTAATCAATATTACTATAATTTAATAAATAAAGATTGGAGTTATATGTATTTGATCTTATTACTTTTTTATTATCGTAATCAATATTACTGTAATTTAGAAAATAAATATTGGAGTTTTTTTTTTTGAAAATTTTCTGCGGTGCTTCATTAGAAAAATGCTGAAATAATGTCTGGTGGGTGAGTATCCCAGTACATAGTATCAGGTTGCTGATAAGCCGTAGTGGCTAAAGCATGAGCTAAATAATTGTCCGATCTAGAAATATAATTAAAAGAACATGAGTGAAAATAAACGGCAATTTGCCTGCAGCTATCAATGGCATAGCCAACGTAAGAGCGAAACGTAGTGGTTGATGATGTAAGGTAGCGTTGTAGTGTCAAACAATCCGTGTAGATCTCAATATTCTGTTCACCTCGATCCTTTAGCCATGATAAAACTTCCTTACACGCCAAAGCCTCAGCCATAAGTGGTGACGTACAGGCCGGTAGCGGCGCGGTTAGTGCCGAGATATAGGCTCCATCTCCATCTAATAAAACGGCCCCTACAGTTGCATTCCCTGTCTCGTGTAGATATCCCGCATCGACCCTGCATCTTCTCACTGGCGGCACAGAGGATCCGGCGGCGTCGGCAGCACCGCGGCCGGCGGTGGGACTCGCCTGGGCAGCGTGGCGGTTTTCTGTCGGCAGCGTAGCAGTGGCAGTGGCAGCCACGGCTGGGCGGGACTGAGTCCATGCGGTCTTGGCTGCCGCTGCGGCTCTGAGTAGGGACCCCGGGCGTGGTAAAAATGCCTCCCAAACTGCACCATTTCGAGCTTTCCAAATATTGTATAGAATTGATGCTGCATATAACATTCCATCAGAATCTAAAATATTTAGAAGTTCCCCAAACCAAACATGAAAAATATCCGTGACAATATTGGGGATTGTAAGGTTGGATTGATCCCAAATGTTTCTTGCAAAATCACACAAGACTAATGCATGCATTGTATTCTCATGTGATATCCCACACATAGCACAATATGGGTTCACCTCCACCCTCTTTAAAAGCAAGTTCGTAGTTGTAGGTAAAATATCACAAATAGCTCTCCAGAGGAACATTTTCCACTTTGGTGGAATTTTTAGTCTCCATAAAGCTAACCAATTAGTAAAGGGGCCTTGATTATTCTCATAATCTCCCACCAATCGTCTGTACCCGCTTTTCACAGAATATAATCCTCTCGGGTCCCCGTACCAATACCATGCATCATTATAATCCCGGGATACAGGTACTCTCATAATTCTCTCGACATCCGTAGGTTGAAATAAATCTGATAAAATTCCATTATCCCATGTACCAGTTTGTTGATCTATTAGCCCCACTACTCTGGCCTCTCGTAACTGTATAGGCATCTCTGTTTGTATCATAGGGTCCTGGTCATCCAGTAACCATGGATGGGTCCATATAGATGTAGTTTCCCCATTCCCAATTCTTCGTCTGACCCCACTACAAATTATGCTCTTTGATGCCATTATACTCCGCCAACAAAAACTGGGATTATTTCCTACCTGCGCATCAAAGAAAGTATCCCTGGGAAAATATCGGCTTTTGTAAACACGAGCTACTAAGGAATCAGGCTTAGTGAGCATTCGTCATGCTTGTTTCCCCAACATAGCTAGATTAAATGCACGTAGGTCCTTAAAACCCAATCCACCATACTTCTTAGGAACACATAGCTTGTCCCAGGCCTTCCAGTGAACTCGGTTGTCCGTCCCAGAACCCCACCAATATCTATTCATCGTTCTTTCTATAGCCGTGCATACTGATATAGGTAGCAAAAAAACACTCATTGAGAAGGTAGGCATAGATTGTGCCACACTTTTCAACAGTATTTCTTTCCCTGCCTGAGACAATAGCCTTTTATTCCACGACCCAATTCTTTGGCGTATTTTATCCTCAATATATGCAAAAGCTGCCTTTTTATTCCTACCCACAAACGAAGGTAGACCCAAATACTTGCCAAAGTTTGGTGCCTGCTCCACCGCCAAAACTTGGGCCACACTTTCCCTATCCACATTACTCGTATTCCTGCTATAACAAATACTCGACTTGTGGTAGTTAACCACCTGTCCCGATAGATCCTCATATACAGTCAGGCATTTCTTTATCTCATTAGCCTCTTCCACATTAGGCTTAAAGAATAAAAGGCTATCGTCCGCAAAAAACAAATGAGAAATCTGAGGGGCACCTCTTGCTACCCTACATCCATGAATTAATCCCGCTCTGTTAGCCTGTTGTAGTAACAACGAGAGTCCCTCTGCACAGATAATAAACAAATATGGGGATAGCGGGTCTCCCTGTCTCAAACCACGCGTGGGTATTATTGGGTCACTCCTTGAGCCATTTATCAGAATACTATAGGAGACTGTGGTCACACATTTCATAATCAAATCAACCCATCTATCATGGAAACCCAATGCCATCATCATATTACGGAGAAAAGGCCACTCCATTCGATCATACGCCTTAGCCATATCCAGCTTAAGTGCACCCCAGCCCCTCAATCCACACTGTTTTCGATTCAGAAAGTGCCCCACTTCTGCAGCTAATAGAATATTATCTGTTATCAATCTATCTGGGATAAAAGCACTCTGTGTCTCAGATATTATTCCTTCCATCAAAGGCTTCATTCTATTAGCCATCATTTTAGCTATTATTTTGTAAATGACATTGCTAAGTGCTATAGGGCGCAAATCAGTTACTAACTCTGGATTACTCTTTTTAGGGATCAACACAATATCTGTCTCATTCAAGCCAGACGGGAGGTCACCTGATTCAAGACAGTTTAGCACAAAACTCGCAACATCCCCTCCTACCACATCCCAGAAATGCTGATAAAAACCCGGATTCATTCCATCCGGTCCTGGTGCTTTATCCGGATACATTGCAAACAATGCATCCTTTACTTCCTCCAGATTAAATGGCCGTAATAGTGAGTCATTCTGCGCCTGTGATACCCTGGGTTCTATCCCCCCAAAAAAATCATCTCCAGTTCCCAGACCCCCAGAGCTGAAAATATTCTTAAAATAGTCCAGAATGATATCTCTCATGGGATCCCCCTCCAACCAATCCCCATTGTCATTCATTAATCTAAGTAAAGTATTCTTTTTCTTTCGGTGAGAGGCATACCTGTGAAAGAATTTGGTATTGGCGTCAGCTTCCTTGAGCCAGTGCTGCTTGGCCCTCTGCCTCCAGTATGCATCCTCCTGGGCATCAGTGCGACTCAGAAGTTGCTCTATTCGCTGAAACTCGACAAGAGAGGCCGAGTCAGTGCATCCTCTCAAACGTTGTTGATCCCGTTTCAGCTGCACAATCTGTTTCCCATACTTATGGAACCGATCCCCACCCCATCGTGTTAACCGGTTTCCACAGTATTGAACACAACCCTGTAAACCCTGCCCTCTCCCTTCCTGCCACGCCTGCTCCACCACACCCCTACATCCCTCATCATATAACCATGCCATCTCAAACCTAAAACCCCTTCTTCTAACCCCATCCCTCCCTACCTCCTCCTGAACTGTGAAAAAAATGGCTGAATGATCTGACTTCCTGGTTCTCAAATTCATAACCTTTACATGGGGAATTATATTGCGCCACTCGTTCGTTACTAGGACCTTATCAAGTCTCTCCTCAATCCAGTTTGCAGTCCCTTTCCCCTTCTCCCAGGTATATGGGTATCCAATCATTGGCAACTGGGCCAATCCACAATCCTCAATCGTCTCCCCAAAACCTCGAAGAAGGCTATTCGGATGTGGATTTCCCCCTCTCTTCTCATACTGGTATAGCAAATCATTAAAATCCCCCACCACCACCCACGGGAGATTCGATTTTGCCGCCAACATTCTCAACAAATCCCATGATTCAGCACGCCTATTACGGTCCGAATAACCATAGTAACACGTCATTCTCCAGGCCGGATGACCTGTCATAGTTACCTCAATATCAACGTAGTTTCTTGAGTAACTAAGGAGTCTCGCCGTATTATTCTTCTTCCACAATAACGCTAATCCACCACTCAAACCATCATTGTCAACATAAAATAAGCCTTCGAAACCAATCGTAACACGAAGACGCTCAGCATGATCTCGCGCTACCTTAGTTTCTATTAGAAATACAAAGTCGGGTTGCTTTTTGGACACCATGTCCACCACCTCTCGAACTGTCCGTGGATTACCCAAGCCACGGCAGTTCCAACTCAGCGTACTCATTGGGTTGGGCGGGGCCAAACAGTGATGATCACCGGAAAAAACGTAGGAAACCGTCGGAAACCTAGCAAATCCTAGGGGAGGAGAAAACTCTAGCAAACCCTAGAGAGAAATTTTTCTGTGCACATGCATTACTTAAGTGGATCAAAAAATATTGGAGTTAAATGTATTTGATTTTATTACTTTTTTATTGTCGTAATCAATATTTATTGTAATTATATTATAGAATTTTTCTATATACATATTAATAAATATTATGTGTATATATAATGTATTATACAATCATATAAGGAAATACATACATCCGATTAGAGTTTAAACTTATACAAAATTTAAAATTGACATTTTTTTTAATTAATTTCTAGGTATAATTCTCTTAGTTAGTATTCATATTTTTAGAATTATAATATATATGAAATACAATTAAGAATAAATCAACTTAATTATGCAATTTTTTTCTATAAATTTATCTAAATATGTACCTGATTAGAGATTATATTATTCATACAAAATTTAAACTTAAATTTTATATTTTATGAAAATAGATACTTGCACAAATACATAAAAGTCTAACTGTATTATTATATTATACATTTTAAAAAAAATTTAAATTGATTATAACAAAAATTTGTTCGTGCAACGCACGGTAAAACACTATAGGTAATAAAATAAAATTAAAAGTCAATAAAGTCGATTTCAAAAAGATAATAAAAAAGTCAATAAATTCGCTTGGCGTTACAGTATATAACCATACTTCATTCATTCACTCACCCACACAACAAGCTGGGAGAAGACAAAATTATTATTAAAGAAAAAAACCCAAAAAATGATAGGGTGGGACGACATATACAAGGTGGTGGTGGCCATGGCGCCGCTCTACGCAGCGATGGTCTTAGGTTACGGTTCAATTCGGTGGTGGCACATGTTTAGACCCATATTTTAAATTTAATAACTCATATTTTAAAACTTAATCTCCTTCGATAATTGAATTGTATCTTAAATTGTGTTAAGAAATATAAGTATCTATTATATTATTTTAAGTGTCATGTGCATGCACTTGTTAATTGGAGATTATGGTCCACCACTTTAATTAAGCAAGCATGGTATGGTGCAAGTAACGTATGCCATTCTTCTTTTTCTTCTTCAATTCCTCCACTATCATAATTCATAATAAAACATAACAAAAATGCAGGCCGGAGAACAAGTTGAATTGAAAGTACACAGTTTTGGTGTATGGGAGAAATAATGTACTTGCACCGGAATTCCGTACGAATCCCAGAATTGAAATTATAATTAAACACAAATCATAAACCACACAAAACAACAAAACCACTAAAATAAATCTTCTCTCAAAACGTGATGAAGAGCTAAAGATGACTATGGCTAGATCTGGTTCGAATTGAACTGGATACTATAAAATCAAAATCGGAATCGGAACTATATGTACCATTTTGGTTTTGGTCTTTATTGGTTTCAATAATATAAGAACCAAAATCACCAATTCGATTCTATTTAAACTGGAAAAATAAATAATAAATAAGTAATTTTAAATTTTAAATTACATCATGCAAATCCAAATTGGTGTTCTTATTGTTGTTTAATTTAAAATTCTACATTTTTATTGAATGCTACTGACTCTATTACAATGTAGTATCTGTTCATAACTACTTTCTCAACCTACTGAAGCACTACCTTCCATATAGGAGTCCAACCCGAGTGCCATTCTACATAATTGTTCGCCTCCGACTAAACTAAGCATGCTCAAAATTTATCGTCATTCAATCTGCACAATTGTACGCTTCTGACTAAACTAATTAAACATGCTCAAAGTTTATCATTACACAATTGTTCACTTCCAACTAAACTAAATATGCTCAAAATTTATCGTCGTTCATTTAACACAAATGTTCACTTCTGACTAAACTTAACATACTCAAAATTGATATTGTTATTTAATATACTAAACTGAATATACTCAAAGTTACTCAAACTAAATATACTAAACAATTATATTATTCACCTCTAATTAAACGGAACATACTCAAATATTATTAAGCCATACAATCTACACGTACAACGTTTGGCCTACCTAACTTTGCAGGTCCAATCATGCAACATGAGTTTTCTTCTTCTCCTCCCAAAATGTCGAATTCCCAATCCTAAGAGCCTCACACCTCGGCCCGAAAGAGTATTTGGGAGGATGTAAATCACGGTGACTATGACTCAACAGACAGTACTAAATGCCGGTGCACATAAAGAATCTGCCCACTTTGAACATATGTCGTTGCCGAGATTCCAAATGATTTTTTCTCCCAAATACGGCTTATTGAATCATTAAGCTAAGCCCGTTTGAGTTGCAACATGAGTTTTCTAGTAGCATGCATGCATTACCGTTCAAAGAGGAAATTAGGGTTCACTACTGGAAATTCTGAAATTGCCGACCACCTGAAAGTGATCTTAAATCAAGTTGAAAGTCTTGTTCCGACCACTTTTGGTATCCGAAAAAACCTTTGTTCATAATTATTATGTGTTCATAATTATAAAGATATATATTTATAATTTTTGAACTTCATATTCATAATTATTGAACTCTATATTCACAATTACAGAACTCTATATTCATAATTTCTGAACTTCATATTCACAATTATTGAATATGTATATTCATAATTACAGAACCATATGTTCACAATTATGTTCACAACTCTATGTTCATAATTATAAAACTATATGTTCATAATCTTTAAACTATATATTCATAATTATGAACAGTTTTGAAACCATGTCCACCTTGCAAGGTGGGCACAGTTCCACAGCATAATTTGCCCACTTTATTGCTCTTATTAATTAAATTAAAAAATAAATTAGTAGCTACAACAAAAAATAATATCAACATACATGTGCTTGTAAGATAAAGAGGAGTTCATAACACAATTAAGATTCCAGTCATATATACACAATAAGACAAATCTAAAACTTTCTATACCATAATCTCATTGCATGATGAATCCCTCTATGATACCACCAATAACCCAATTGCACATGACACAATACAAAAAAAAAAAAAGAAAAAAAAATGTACTAAAGATTAAAACAATAACAATGCTATTCAAAAGAGAATTAGAAAAATTTAAACAAAAAATAGTATTTATTTAGACTATCGCTTTTAGACTTAGTACTTAGATTAGCGTTATTAGAAACTTGCAAACATTTATTTTTGGTTACAGTTATATATAATCAATCTCTAATATATTATCTTGCATTTATATACTTTAAATTACCGATTTAAATAAATAAATTCAACATTTATTTACCATGAACATCTTCTATATAATATTGCATTGGTATACTTTGAAATACTTATTTTAAAATAACCATTGGGCATAATCTTATTCGCGCAAAGCGCGTAAAAAAACTAGTACAATAATACAACTCGTGCTTGCACATATTAATTAGTCGCACAAACGAGGTACACATTTCTTTGGACTACATACAATATAATGTAAATCCATCGGAGACATGCATATTGCATGCATTCATATTGCAGACGTACGCGGCATCATCTTTATAGTTCGTTGCATATGACATAGAGCCACCTAAAGGAAATTGAAGCACTGTTATTAAATGCCCATTGTATTGTTTTCAAATACCACCAAACTATAATATACCTACACAATTAAAATAAATTAAAATTTGAAGTCATCAAAGTCGTGTGGCGTAACCGTATATAACCATCCTTCATTCATTCACTCACCACACACATCCTCCCTTTCTTCAACTTCCATATCATGTCCCAAGTAACCGCCGCCGCCGGTGAAACACCGGCGGCTCCGACCAATATTGCGCCGTCGTACACGTCGTTGATGAAAGCTGTTTGTCTCAAACTTTCCAAGAACCTTAATACTTATGCATGTTTTCTTGGTTTGATTTGGGCCCTCATAGCCAATAGGTATTCTCGATCAACACTTATAAACTCTGTTTATACAATATCTGATATAATCCAAAATATATATAACTTCATATATAATTTTTTTATATATACATTTTAAGGTGATTAAATTGTAAATTTTTTATGTCAGGTGGCATTTAAGTATGCCTAGCATTGTAGACGACTCTATCTTGATCATGGCCAAGGCAGGCAGTGGTATTGCCATGTTCAATACAGGTCTAGCCTTTGTGGTTCATGTTCAGTTGAGACACCATGATTTACATCCTCCCAAATGCTCTGTCCGGCCGGGGTATGGGGAGCCCTTAGGGTTGGGGTTCAGCCTTTCTGGAAGAATGTTCAGTACAGGTAATTAATCACATCATACCAATAATTATGTTTCAGTTGTGACAGATTACTTGGTTTCCTTTCCATTTTCTGCATATATCTACACCTTGTTTTGTGCCCCTTGACAGGGGAATATCTGTTAGCTTCTCCATGGCCCACTTTAATAAATGGCTGTTAGTTATTTGGTTAACCTATTAGCTGGGTAATTGTAACATTTCAAATTCAAATCTGACCACCTGTCAATTATGGACAACTTAAGTTGTTTTATTTCATTATAAGTTAGTGTAATGCACAACATCAGATAGTGATGTCAAGCATCTTGTGCTCAGATGACATGTAGTAACCTCTTCCGATCCATGTGAGATGTCATGAGATTGAGTCTCAGTGGAGGACAGTAGATTTCTCACCTTAACAAAAAAAGAAAAAAAAGAAAGAATATATATTTCCTGTCATTGCCAACATGTTCACCAACGTTGTTAATTAGCTGCTATTTCCTCCATTAATAATCTTTAATTTTTTTGTACGTGCATGTTTTATAGGGCTTTTCATGGCATTGCAAGACAGGATAATATCTTGCGGTGGGGCTTTAACCGTGTACGGTTTAGTTCTCCGGTTTTTAATCGGACCCGCTACCTCGGCAATCGGTACCGGATTGTTACGTCTGCACGGTGACGTCTTGAAAATAGTTATAGTCCAGGTAATTGATAGACAACTAACAATTAATATAATGTTAATTCATGGAAAAAATAAAAAATAGAAAAAAATTTCAGGCCAAATTTTTGTTAATTAATTAATGTGATTGATATTCTTCTATATATGTACAGTCTGCATTACCGCAAACTGTGACGGCATTCATTTACGCCAAAGAATATGGACTGCATGCCGATGTTCTCAGTACAGCGTAAGATTTTTCATTAAAAAAAATATTTAAATTTTATTTCAAAATTTATAAATAAAATATATACATGTGGTGAATTAGATTTTAATATATATATATTTTTTTTGTTTTAATTTGTGCAGGATTATCATTGGCACCATCGTTTCATTACCCGTGTTGATTGGATATTACGTCATTCTCGACTTCTTACCTTAATTAATATCTTTATGGGACATCCTTAATTAATATATGTACGGGACATTTTCAAGAGATGTAACATTACCTAGATTATTGTAAAATTAATGTTTTGTTTTTATATGAAATTATAAATTAAAGGTATGTGTGATACTAGCTTATTACAGTGGTAGCAGTTGACTAGTTGATGACCAACAACAGCACTACATACAGCACTAGCATAATATAATAATATAAGTAAAATAGTGTTGGAACAGGGAGCTTTTGTTGACAAAATGAAAGCAACTTTTGTTTTGCTTAAAATGTCTTACATAAAAAAAAATGTTTTTTTTTTCTCAGAATAAAAAGGGATGGAGATATTAATATTGTAATAAGGATTTTTTTTAAATTTTTTTTTGGTAAGGTAATAACATATTTAATTCATGTGTTAGTGCATGCATGTGTTATTGGAGGGACTGTTTTGATCTATCAAAAGTTGTTGTCACATGCTTTTCAAAAGTTTAATTTACTTCAATTATATTCGCCCCTTGTTATGTGTCTTGTTCCATTAGTGAGATTAATTGATATTATTTATAAGTTTAATATTAGTACATGAGGGGTTTATAGTCAATTAGAAACTAAATTAAACGCATTATATTATTAGACAAAAAAAAAATCTAAATTTAAAAATAATAAGGAATAATTCAAAATTAAATAAAGAAAAAAAAAAAGAGTTAGAGTTAGTTTGACCAAGAATATATACTAAACAATTAAGATGTAAAATGGGACAAGGGGGTAAGTGTTTAGTGGTTTACATTTTTATATTTGTAATTTGGATGTGATATGATATTACTAACTCAAGTTAACTATGCTTTGGAAAAATAACTATAATGGGGTTGGGCAACCCCAGACAAATGTGTGAGTTAACTATTGGCCGTCTTGATTTAATGAAAAGAAATATTGACACATTTAACATATGCATTAAATCCATTATTACTTTATAACTCATGAACTAAAAGTGTAATTTTTCTATTGATTTTTATCACAATTTCACACAAATTAAATATGGATTAAACAAGTAATAATTTTAAAATTTTGTTTTCTTTTGAAATCAATGGTAACTATATGGACCCCGCTAAACGAAGAATGCCAATCAAGTGAAGGACTCCTTGTTTATTATTATAAGGGATCGAGGGAGAAACCCTACATAACCACACTATTTGCCTCAACTGAGGTTCAAACTTATCACCTCCTACTTAAGGGAGCAATTAAGTATCAATAGACCACAAGGTTCTTGGTATCTCTTTGTTTGTTTAGATGAAGAAAATAAGCACTACCATAATAGTGTCATGAATTTAAAAATAACGTATGCATGTCTTCCTTTCTATACTTATAGGCTAGTTAGACGATGGAGGACCAATTAATACTCCTTCAACCTTTGCCAAATCTGGGAAGGGATTAGATTACATGTGTCATGTCAACTCAATAAAAGTATTCCACTTCATCAGTTTAATTAAAAGTCACTACTGGAAATTCTGAAATTTCCGACCACCTGAAAGTGATCTTAAATCAAGTTGAAAGCCTTGTTCCGACCACTTTTGGTATCCGGAAAAACCCTTGTTGCTATTTCCGACCACTTTTTGCTTTCAATTTGATTTAAGATCACTTTCAGGTGGTCGGAAATTCAATAATTTCCAGTAGTGAGTGTAACATGTATTTTTTTTATTTTTCAAGTTTAATGATTTATTATTAATTTGAAGTTTTTAGAGTTAATACACAAATTGCATTATTCTAATAAAAATTTTGAGGGCTTATTTCACCTTTTTTTTTTTTTTTAAGAAAAAAAAGTATTCTTCGATTGAGTAGATAGTAGGTGTAAAAGCAAAATAAATTATTTTTATTAGTCTAGCCTCTATAGCATAGTGGTAGTGCATTCGCTTCGTAAGTGAATGAAAGGTCGTGAGTTCAATCCTCACTAGGGGCTTTTACCAACTTAGTGACTACGCTTTCTCATTATTATGCATAAATAAGGTATAAGGTATTAAACAAAATAACTATACGGACAAATTAATAATTTCAATTCAAATATTAACAAAGTTCTAATATATACTAGTTTTTTTCTCGCGTGATTAGATAATGCCTAATATTTTTTTTTTAATTAAGAAATTTAAAGTATATGAAGCTAAGGCAAGATTATATTGGAGTTGTTCATGCATAGATAATTGAATGTTGAATTTGCGTATTTAAATAGGAAGATTGATTATATATAATTGTCAATAAAATAATTGAATGAGTATGGTTGAAACCAAATACGAGACATAAAGGAGAGCAAATAAAGATTAGGGCATAAGATATTAAATATATACTAATATAGTTTGAGGGGATTATGGCATAAGGTTATGTTTGAAGGGGTGTTGGCAATTCGACATATTGCGACAATTTGTTTATACAAATAATATTATAGAAACATGATAGGAGATGTACAAACATACTGCAGAGTTCCTCGTTGATGTTTGTTAGGAACATTGAATTAGGATTTTGATGATACCAATGTAATGTAGAAAAGTAGTCCCCTAACCATTAGCTTTTTCAATCGCTGCTTTCGTCCTAGACGAGAGCTGCCATAACTCCTCTGTAATTCGTGTTAAGCTAGACAAACACACGAAAATGAGTTATGACTAGATGTTAGGGTCTCCAAGGCGAAAGAAGACACGAGACATGAAGAACAACAACGAGAGTCAAGAAGGAGTTGTCAACAAGCACGAAAAGACAGTTCTTGATAAAGTTGATCTTTATCAAACATTACTTCTCTATGACGACGAGAAGAATGATCTACCTGTCTGAGTTGACAACATCCTAGGACAATAAGGACCTCATCTTAAGGGACACACTTTTCAAGGAGCATTAAATGAAGATGTACCATCTTCTGAAGCTATAGGACAAAACCTAATGCTTTCCATACCTTCAATGGCTACATGGTACAACCTCATTAATGCAGCATTTAATGCACGAAGCTCCCCGGTCCTTGTCCAATGGTTAAAAGGTTCGAAAATTTCATCTCCCTCCAACGGATGAATTTTCATCACCTATATAAACCCACCTTCATCAACTAAGAAGGTGCTGGTTCATTCTCACTCGACTTACTTACTTGCAAAAGCTCTTGAAACGCTTACAATTTACTAAAAGCTTTTGTGAACCAGTATTGAGGTGCTAAGTTACTTGAAGAAGATTATTGATCTTTTTCTTACACCTCAAAGGAAGTCTTGCCATTTGTTTGAAGCAATCATATCTCAGAGTCAAGACTTCATCGTTGGAGAATTCAAGAAATCATTTTCTACCAACCTCAACTCAGGAGAAGAAGTTGATAGAGGCGGAGTAAACTCGAGGAGTTGAAAAACCTACGAAGGCTGTCCGGCTTAGTGATCAAGGAAGTCTTTGTGTAATTGTACTAAGAGTGATAGTGCAATCCTTCCATCAGTTGTGGAAGAAGAGTGGAGTAGGCAACGTTAGCCGAACCACTATAAAATCTCGTGTCCCTTCTATTTCTTTACTTACGCTTTTCTTTTCTGCATTCATATCATCCCATTTATCACCGTTACCGAAAGTTCTTCTAATTACGCAAACTCATGCAAAGTATTTAAAACGAATCTATCTTATCCGCTGCGCCAAGACACCGAAAGGTGACGATTAGGGCCTTTCACGAAAAGAGTCTATTCACCCCCCCCCCCCTCTAGACTCTCATTTCATTCTATCGGGACCAACAATGTTGTGCCTGATTAGGCTAAGTCTCAACGCAGAATTCCCCGTGTTGCATAATAATTTAGGTTTGTACTTCCATTAAGACTTTAATATTAGAATTAGACTAATGGTGTAGTTATAATGGATAAAAATATATTTTTTTTTATTAGTTGCCCGCTATAATAATGGTATTTGAAGTTCAAAAAAGAAAACATGAACACTTTATTAATTTTTGAAAAAAAAAAAATTCACATTGTATATTATGTACATGACAAAATATTACACATTATTAAACACATCATGATAAAGAGTTAAATTAATTACATTTTTGGTCCTAGATTTTTAGGTGGCAATCCACTTTTAGTCATTTTTTATCATAACCTCCTCATTTGGTCATAGTATTATTGTGGCATGACCATTTTTGGTCCTCCATCAAGAAAATGATTGAAATGTCGTTAAATAGAAGGACATTTCGATCTTTTTTATACAAAGTAGGTTGACCCGCTATATTTTTTATGTTTATTTTTTTAAAAAAAAATCAAAATTGAAGACTGAAATACTATTTTATTTGACAAAATTTAAACTATTTTGTTGTGGAGGACCAAAAATGGTCATGCCACAATAATACTAGAATCAAAAGTGGATGTTTTGAAAAAAAAATAATAAAGACTAAAAGTGGACTGACACATATAAATCTAGAACAAAAAATGAATTAACTCTCATAATAAAAAACATTAGTAGTTGAATTACTCACAACAAAATTTTCAAACCATCTGGATTGCTCACACACTATAGTGTATCTTCATAGTGTCTAAATAAACAAATCACATCATAGATAGATAGTGTTGGTGTGATTTGATTTTCATCGATTTACCTGCAAGATGAAAAAAAAATGAACAAAAAGATGCATTCTAATAATTGGTGATGGACATATTAAGTATGGGCTCGGGGCGAACCGACCGGAGAAGGGCGGCCCCGGTTGAGGCCGACCAAGGCCTCGGCCTACGTCCTCGGGCGAGGCCTACGTGGGCCTGGAGGCACAAGATGGCCCCGGGCACTCGCGCGGACCCGGTCAAGGCGCGATCCAACCACCCCACAAGAATAGGGGGGCGGTTGGGAGTGGGAGGCTAGTATAAAAGGATCAATTATTGTCTTGCCTAGGACATCTACTATTTTATTACAACATTTTACCTTGTAACCCTGTTACAATTACTATCAATACAAAGTTGTCCCCGCGACACACATCTTTCCGATCCATTTACTTATCAGATTTAGTGATTCGGGTCTACCCCGGGTTAATTAAATCCATCAATTGTTATAGAGCAATACTTAAGACAATTGCACAATACTATGAAGATGCTATTGATTTAAAATAATCCTACAATCATGTACATTTTAAAAATTAAATAATTGAAACCTCAATTCTTAAAAATTAACAATCCAAAAGCATATATATTGAAATTTTAAAAACATAAAATGCCATAACATTAACTCTAGGTGATATACAGTAAAAGGGGGATACATGCTTGTTGTTGGAGATTATGAGCACAGGAACGGGGATTTTGATGCCTGGCTACGTATGTGGAAATTGAAAGTACCTCCTAAAAGGAAATTATTTCTGTGGAAATTGAAAGTACCTCCTAAAAGGAAATTATTTCTGTGGAAATTAAAGTTTTGAGTGGTGTTCTCCCCACCACAACTAATCTTATTATGAAGAGAGTAGAAATTGATCCGACATGTTCAATGTGCACGAATTATCCCGAATGTACAATGCATGCTTTAGTGTCTTGTGATTTTTCACAGGCAGTATGGCGGGAATCTACATTGTCTATTATGCATATTATGGCTGATTCTTTTGAGGCTTGGTTTCTTGAAATTATGAAAGAACTCACCAATAATCAATTTATTATGGCAGCAGCGGTTCTCTATTATATATGGCGGGCAAGAAACCAAGCGGTATGGGAGCATGCTCTACCGATGCCCAACGAGTGGTGAATGCGGCGACATCTGCGTGGCAAGCGTGGAGCATGGTGCATGGAGGACCAGCTGCGGTGGCACAAACTGTACCCACTGCCACGGCTGGAGGCGGGCTGCCGAGAGTGTACGTCGATGCTGGCTTCCACGCGTCGGACGGAATGGCGACGGCAGGCGCGGCTGTACTCTCAAGCGAAGGGGAGTTTATGGCATGCTTCAATATGCGGTTACCTCATTGCCTGTCCCCATTAATGGCAGAAGCTTTGGCATGTAAAGAAGCATTATCATGGTTGAAGGATAAGGGATTGCTCGCGGTACAATTACATACGGATTGCCGGAATCTACAACACCACTTGACATCACAAGCCACACGGATGCGAACATATATTGGCTATATCATTGATGGATGCAGGACTATTTTGTCATCTTTTAATTTATGTTCTGTTGTTTACATTCCTAGATTAGAAAATCTTATGGCGCACTCATTAGCGTCGCATGCTTTTACGCAGACTCATACGATGTACTGGGATACTATCCCACCAGATTTTATTGCAGCCTATCTCTAATATAATCACCTTCATTGGTGGCTTTCAAAAAGAAAAAAAAAAAAAAAAAAAAAAAAAAAAAAAAAAAAACTGTAGGTGATATGTTAGGAATTAAATATTACGGGTGAATGCCAAGACCTTGTGGTCTAATGGTACCAAGGTTGGACTCCTGGGTTCGAGCCTCAGTATTGACTCTTTGTGATTCACTAGGTTGAGAAAGTAGTTATGACTTATGAACAGATATTACATTATTGTAATAAAGTCGGTAACATTTAAAAAAATATTATATTAGGGGAAATATTATGTGATATCGTAGGAATTATCTATTTGTTCGCCATTATTGCGTGATATTATAGAAATTATTAAATATCTTCCAACAACTGATTTCCCCTCAACAACTTTAACTTCAAATTTTCTTCATCAATTAAGTCAATTAATTCATCCATCGATTCCGTAAATTTGTGACATTAAATTCACCAAATTAAGACTACCAATCGTTTAGAATATTAGCGGCAATTTTAAGGGTGAATTATGGGAGAAAATAATATTTAATGGAAAAGTTAACAGATAATTATATAATTAAGGATAAATTAGAAAATTAAAAAAAAAAATTCTAATTAATCTGAATCATTCATTTGATTAAAAAATTTGACCGTCATTTTTTTTAACCCATTATAGGAATAACTCTCTATGGCTCTTATTTGTATAGTAGATATGAATTTAAAAAATAAAAAATAAAAAATTAACCACAATGTTTCAAGTTGGCCTATTGATTTTATATGATGGTATTGGTTGATAAAGCACTCTGATCTAATATTCCAATTGTGGGTTAAAGTCACCTGGGGCATAATAATACTAGGTAATCAAACTAAGTACTCTGATCTAATATTCAAATTGTGGGTTAAAGTCATCAAACTATTCATTAACATGATTGAAATGGTTCTAATTTATTTAGTAATATGTTTTTACGTCTTTTGTTACCTTTTACACATTTAGTATTAGTGTAGTGATTTATCTTTATCTTAAAGTTGAATTTGAAACTATTCACTAACATGATCAAAATAATTGTAATTTATTTAGTAATATGTTTTCACGTCTTTTGTTACCGTTTACACATTTAGTATTAGTGTATTGATTTATTTTTATCATAAAGTTGAATTTGTAAAATGAAATCAGAAAATTGGAGAAATGAAAAATTGGAGAATTGAGAATGAAAATTAGAAAAATGAAAAAATAAAAAATGAAAAACACTATTGTAAACGATTACACATTTTCACACTAGTACAAAATTGAACATAGAAGATTGATCACAGGCCACCATTGTTGAAAGAATGGTTGCCTAATCTTAGCCTAAAAATTTGCGGTGGCAATTTTGTAAATAAGTGATCAATAATTCACCACCATTGTTAGCTATAATGGTTGCCCATTGTATTTTGTATTTATTTAAAAAAATTTGATTTATATTAGGCAACCATTTCTAATAGAAATGGTTGCCTTAAAATAGAACTTGTTTTATAATAGGCAACCATTTCTAATAGAAATGGTTGCCTAATATTAACCCTAGATCTACTATCTAGATCAAAATCGCATCCCATCAGATCTAAAGCAAATTCATCCACAGTCGCTTCGATCCGCCGTCGCACCAATCGTCTCACCGCCACCGTTGCCACCCATAGCCACAACATCCACCGCCACCACCGTTCACTGCCACCACCTCGACGTCGCGCACCGGCCACCACCGTCGACGCACATCCACCGCGACGGAGGGAGCTTGCGATGGAGGTCTGCGATGCGACACAGAGAGCATGTCTTCTCTCTAATCCCACTCTCTCTCAAAATCCCCTCCCTTCTGCGACGCGACAGGGAGCTTGCAATGGAGGTCGTCAACCGCTCAGATCTAGACGGGTAAGTTTTTAAAATAAATATTTTGTTCGGTTGGTGGTCGATGAAATTCTGCCAAGATATTTCTCATTTCTCTTTACGATCTCTCTCTCTCGCTAGCTCTCGTCCCCTGCGTTCTGGAATTCCGTAGCGCGTAACTTCTCCGGCCGCATGGTTCCGACGAGGATTCGATCGGTTAGCTTCGCAGCTCTTTGTTTGGTTCTGATCGCGATTCCTTTTCTGGCATCGGAAGCTTTGATCGACGGCGAGGATGTCAATCCCCCTTACCCCAAAGCCATATCTGTAAGATTTATCATGCTTTCTCCTTCTCTCTGTTCTTATTGTCATTGATTTTTGTGTAGAAATATCTCAGAAATAGCAAACTGTTGAGGAAAACAGCCCTAATCTGTTGTGTTTCGGCTAGAGTTGGATTTTTTGCAAGTTGGTTTAGTTGTTTCTAGATTAAGTTTAGCTTTTGTCACCGTATGCGTTTTATTATGCAATTCTTAGTCAAATTAGCATTATTAGTTTTAATGCTATCAGTTCTACCAAAATTTATTAACTGTTGGGTGCAGGCTTTTATTTCTCAACTAGTATCAAGTATAGACTCCATAGCTCAACCTACGAAACACCATCTCTCCTATGTGCTTGTTTAAACTTTAGAACAATTGTTACTATTACACTTTTCATTGCTGAGCTTTATCTTTTTTTCTGATTTACACAGGTCAAAAGGTGCATCAATGTCAAAGTACAGAGATTTAGAAGAAGAAACATTTGTATTACTTTGGAAATTGGAGATGATATCCTAAGGTCAAATATTATTGTTCTTATATTGTAATCATTATTGTTATAGTCATTTTGGTCATTACTTTCTTTATTTTTCTAGTTTTACTAAAGCCATCATACTCTCACTTCACTCTGCAATTCATTCTGAAGGTCTGTGAGGTAATGATTGAATAATTGTAGTCTGTAAGTTTGAAATATAGCTGCTTCAAGTCCTTAAGGGAATTCTTTAGCTTATTTTCTCAAACTTTCTAAGGAGATACAGTGAAAGCCAATTTTCACTACATATAATACAACAGGTATTTAATTGTAAATATATTTGACTAATTATATTGTTATATTTCAAATTTTTTATCTGTGACGATTACATTATTTTAAGTTCTGATTATTTTTGTTATATTTGTCTATTACCTCCTAATTTCTATTGTGCCATTCTACACATTTGTGTACCATTAGATGAAAGTATATGTATCTGGTTATAAATAAAATAAGCTTGAGTTCTCTTACTCTGTTTAAGAAGTTTTCAATATTCCCAAATTGAAATCAGACCGAAGTGAAGACTGATTCTGAATTTTTTTTATTACATTCTTGTCTAGACTGTACCAGTTAATCCCAAGCCATTCTTGAACAATTTGACTGGAAAGCCTTGTTAAGTCATGTTATTATTATTATCATTTATTGTTATTAGTTTTATATTAGAATTAGTCAATAAGTTAATTACAGTTGACTAGCCTATTGTGTAGGAGTAGTTTACGTCTATCTCTCTACTTTAGTGTTTCAGTTGTAACCTCTTTCGGTTGGAATGAACGATCACTTTCTCATCTGGTATCAGTAGACCAGGATCCGTTCTCTCTCCACCTTGCAACCCCCACCACCACCGTACCCCCTCCATCCCTCACCAAATATGTCCACTAATTCATCGGAACGGACCGTCACCGCCGATCCCTCCGCCGTGCCGTCCGCCACCGCCAACCCCATGTCAGGCGCGCACCACTTCGTTTCTCTGAAGTTGACGATGCGCAACTTCTTGTTTTGGAGGACGCAATTGCTGCCCTTCCTCCGCGGTCAGGACCTCTTGGGTTATGTGGATGGCGAGATCCCATGTCCGCCATCGGTTATCGACGCGTCTCCGGCCTCCGGCGAGTCGGCGTCCGCCACAACCCCGTCACTGATCCCGAACCCTGCATATAAGGCATGGGTAAAACAAGACCAATCCATAATGTCATTACTCATCTCATCATTATCCGATGAAGTAATGCATTTAGCGGTCGGCCATAGCACTTCCCGGGCGGTGTGGGAGTCGATCACCACGGCTCTGAGCAGCTCCACCCGCGCTCGGTGCCTCAGTCTTCTCGGCCAATTCCACTCCCTTCGCCAAGGCAACAGCTCCGTAACCGAGTATCTAGGCCGCGCACAATTATTGGTTGAAAACATCGCGCTGGCCGGCAGACCCATATCGCTGGACGTACAAAACCTTTTCGTTTTTAGAGGTCTGCGTCCGGAGTACAGGGCTATGGCGTCTTCTCTTGCAGCGGCCGGCAACCCCGTGACTATCTCCCAGATATCCGATCATCTGCAAGCCCAGGAGTTCATTCACTCCGAGGACTTTCCGGGATCGGACGCTGGCTTCGGAGCGGTTCCTGTCGCGAACTACACCGGGCGAGGCAGGCGGAATGATGGTGGACGCGGCTCCGGCAACGGTCAGGGGCGGAACAATGGAAACCGCGGACGTGGAGGCAACCGTGGACGCGGCCGGAATAATTCCCCGCGCTGCCAAATATGCAGGAACCAAGGCCATACGGCCGTGACATGCTACCAGCGGTATTCCGGGCAGTCACAGCCGCAGGCTCACGTCGCGGTGACCGGAGATGACAACGTCTCGGGTGGCTCCGCCGGCTGGTTTCCCGACACCGGCGCCTCGGCCCACGCAACGCCTGACGCCAGCTTGTTGAATCAGACCGAAGAATATTCGGGCGGTGATGTCCTGCGCGTAGGTAACGGGACAGGTTTGACAATTACTCGTGTTGGTCACGCATCTGTATCATCAAATTCCAAACCACTAAAATTTTCCAATGTTTTACTTATCCCTGATTTGTCAGTTCCGTTACTTTCAGTACAGCAATTTACTAATGAAAATAATTGCTTCTTTGAATTTCATAAGAACTGCTTTTTTGTGAAGGATTCCACAACTCGGGCAGTGCTGCTTAAGGGGCCCACACTGGGTGGCCTATACAGACTCCCAGTATCGCAGTCACACTTCGCGTTTCTTACCTCTCGAACAACCTCGGACGTGTGGCATCGGAGACTTGGCCATCCACATGCGAGTGTTCAAAGTCGTGTCCTAAGGTCCTGTCCAGTTTCGACCAATAAAGCTTCCGTGTTGGAGTCTTGCAAATCGTGTCATTTGGGAAAAGCGGCTAGATTTCCTTTAGATAGGGTCCCATTCAGTAGTAATAATGTATTAGATTTACTATATACTGACATTTGGGGTCCATCTCCTGTAATATCATCTAGTGGCTTCAGATACTTTGTACTATTCGTGGATGATTTTTCACGTTTTTGCTGGTTTTATCCCTTACGGATGAAATCGGATATATATAAAACTTTTGAGTCGTTTCGAGTCATGGTAGAACGCCAGTTTTCGCGTTCTATCAAGTCCATTCAATCAGACTTAGGAGGGGAATACCGAAAATTACATAACACCTTTGTCAACCTTGGTATAAATCACCGCCAGTCGTGTGCATACACGCACGAACAAAACGGGCGTGTTGAACGTAAAAACCGGCATATAGTTGAAACAGGCTTGGCCCTACTGGCCGAAGGTTCAGTCCCATTGCAATATTGGGACTACGCTTTTGAAACCGCTACCTGTTTAATCAATTATCTACCCTCCAGTGTCCTACAGTTTCAAAGCCCATATACCCTACTACACAAAGTATCACCCCCATACACCTTCCTTCGAGTATTTGGGTGCCGTTGTTACCCTTATCTTCGGCCTTATAATCGGCACAAGATAGAGTACCGTTCGGCGCCCTGTGTGTTCTTAGGTTACCCGTTGTCCTTTAGGGGATATAGATGCGTTGATTTAACATCGGGGAAAGTCTATATCTGTCGCCATGTGCACTTTGATGAAAATGTCTTCCCTTTTGCAGACATTGACAAACAGGCCAGCATAACAGACATACCACCAGCTCTGCCATGGGCGGCTAGTCCTATTGTAACTCAGACTATGCCAACCACAATGGATTCAGAGTCACCGACTAGTCCTGTACCCCTAGCTCGAGAGTCCCCACCGCCGCTGGCCATTGAAGGGCCTGTGCCGGCTCGAAGGGCTAGGGTTCGGAAAGCTCCAGTCAGGGCAAGAGATCATGTTATGCGGCTACGTCGTATGACTCGGGGAACAGGAGAAGAGTTTCATGCATTGCACACGTCCACTGACCCGACGTGTTATTCACAAGCCATTGGTCACCCACAGTGGCGTGAAGCCATGGACCAGGAGTTCAACGCCCTACTGCATAATCACACTTGGGCGCTTGTTCCAGCAGACCCTAGTATGAATGTGATCGGGTGTAAGTGGGTTTTTCGGACCAAACGCAATGCGGATGGCTCTGTGGAACGCTATAAGGCCCGACTAGTGGCCAAAGGGTTTAATCAGGTAGCTGGCGAGGACTTCTTCGACACGTTCAGTCCGGTAGTCAAACCAACTACCGTCCGCCTGTTATTTTCACTAGTTGTTTCACATACGTGGACTTTGAGGCAACTGGATGTTCATAATGCCTTCCTCAATGGACACTTGGCAGAAACGGTGTATATGAAACAGCCTCCCGGTTATGAAGATCCAGCACATCCAGATCATGTGTGCCATCTTCAGCGCTCTTTATATGGCCTGAAACAAGCCCCGCGGGCATGGTTCAAAAGGCTACATGACTATTTGCTCTCTGCAGGTTTTTCCTCGTCAAAGACAGATGTGTCGCTTTTTCACTTTTCCACCGGGACATCACGGGTATATCTACTTGTTTATGTAGATGATATCATCATGATGGGGAATGATGCACCGTTGATCACGACTCTGCTAAACCGGCTGTCAGACACGTTCAAGATTCGAGATCTTGGCACACCCAGTTTTTTCCTTGGTATTGAAACGGTAAAACTGGATGTCGGCATGATGTTGTCTCAGTGGCGTTACATGAATGATATATTGACTCGTGCAGGCATGTCTGACTGCAAACCCCTCGCTACACCCGCTGCCATGACCCAGGCTGTTACGTCTGCACAGGAACCATTTGAGAATCCTACTCAATATCGGTGCATAGTAGGAGCACTTCAGTACTTGACAATCACGAGACCGGACCTATCCTTTGCAGTGAACCGACTGTGTCAATTCATGCACTCTCCGTCTATGGATCACTGGATACTCCTGAAACGTGTGCTTCGGTATATTAAGGGTACGCTAACCTATGGCCTGCGACTTACCGTATCCAAGTCCTCTGCAATTCATGCCTTTTCTGATTCAGACTGGGCTGGCTGTCCTGTAGACAGGAAGAGTACAAGTGGATACGCCGTGTTTCTTGGGGATAATCTCATCTCGTGGCTCTCTAGAAAACAGCGTACCGTTGCCCGCTCCTCTACTGAAGCTGAGTATAAGGCCCTAGCAGATGTCTCAGCCGAGGTCACGTGGATAGTCTCACTGCTTAAAGAGTTAGGGTTACATGATGCCAAGCCGTCTACGCTGTGGTGTGACAACCTCGGGGCAGCTTATCTCTGCGCCAATCCGATTTTCCATGCCAGGACAAAACATGTAGAAATCGATTATCACTTTGTTAGGGATAAGGTCGCTTCAGGGGATATGCAAGTCAACTTTGTTTCAACCAAAGACCAACTCGCAGATATCTTCACCAAGCCGCTACCCGGACCGCGGTTCGCTCTGTTACGTGACAAGCTCAACGTGCACCCCCCTTGAGCTTGAGGGGGAGTGTTAAGTCATGTTATTATTATTATCATTTATTGTTATTAGTTTTATATTAGAATTAGTCAATAAGTTAATTACAGTTGACTAGCCTATTGTGTAGGAGTAGTTTATGTCTATCTCTCTACTTTAGTGTTTCAGTTGTAACCTCTTTCGGTTGGAATGAACGATCACTTTCTCATCAGCCTGTCATGGTGGAACTCAAGTAGGGGATGGAGTACAAAGGTACTATTCTTCTCATTCTTAAATCTTAATTTAGGTTTTGGAGGTGAGTTATGCCTTTCAACTATTATTATGCTTCCTCATTATTTTACCATCTTATGATCTCTTTATCATGGAACGAAATGGGGAGGTTTGTTTAGGTGTTATCTTGTAATGAAGGCTTAAGAAGAGAAAGGGATTATGAAGAATACTATTTTTTCTTATCTTTTTAACCTAAAAAAATGGGAAAAGGAGGTTTGTTTTAATGATAAAGGTTGAGCCTTGGTGGAATGGTGGATAATCAGATGACTTTTCCTATACTAAGCTGGAAAATGTATTTATAAGCAAGTCAAATTATTGTACTTATGAACTCTACATTTAACTGTTGAATGATGAATATTACTTTTTGTTGGTTTTCTGCAAGGATTGGTGGAATCTGAGGAAGGTTATGTGTAATGAACAGCTTGTTTCATGCATGTACTGTTGCTGCTGCATTATCTAAGACTACCTGTATTGTAGGGAGGAGTTCAATTTGCAAATTCTCAGCTTTCCCTTGGAAGGCGAGTGTCAACCATGATGGAATTAGAAGCTCTAATTTTAACTTGTTTCTGAATAGTGTTTGCATCAGGTTTTGTTCATCTAAAGAGTCTCAGGGAAAGAATTCTCGATCGCGCAAGTCCAAGCCTGCTCCTGCTTCTCCCCCAGTAATGAAGGAAGAGAGAGACGGTTTCTTTGTTGTCAGGAAAGGAGATCTTATTGGAGTATACAAGAATTTGAGTGATTGCCAGACTCAAGTTGGATCCTCGGTAATTAACCTGATTTTATCATCTATCTAGGAGTGCATAAGAGGCATTTTCTTTGTGCTTGTGAAAGAAAACTAAATTGTGCAGTGCATTTGATTATTTATTATTAATGCTGATAACCTGTATTTCATGCACTGTGGCGATTTTTCTGCATATGAGATGTATAGGTTAATTTTGGGTAGTCAATTATAATATAGTTTCTTGTGAGAAAGAAAATGGTTCAGCTATGATAGCTTGGATAGGTGTTGTCCCCGTAATTAGATATTTATAATGGGTCATGGCACGAGGGGCGCAAACAAGGGTATGGGGCATACACATTTCGAAATGGGGAGACGAGAAGTGGTACTCATCATTTTACTGTTTTATTTAGTACTTTCAGGTTGCAATATTGAAATACTAATGTTAACTTTAGACTGTTTTTTTTCTTACATCAGGGGTGGAAGAGACTTCTGGGTTATAATGTTGCATACTTGCATCTATGCATTTCTGTTTGAATTTATATAATCTATTACTTGTTATAGGCAATGTCTAAGAAAGTAATCACAAGATAAGAGTTGGAGAAGAAGCTGAACAATGTTAGGATTAGAAAAGAGGACATGAATAAACTAGTGATGAACTTCCTAGTCACGGAGGGTTATGTGGAAGTAGTAGAGAAATTCAGAAAGGAATCTGGGACAGAACGTATCCTTATATCATCTTTACTTAGTTGCTGTGTACATTTAAGAATTTTGTTTTTCCTTATGAATAACCAGCTGACATAGATCTTGCAACCATTACTGACTGGATGGCTGTGAAAAAGGCAGTACAATGTGGTGATGTTGAGGATGCTATTGAAAAGGTCAATGATTTGAACCCTAAGGTATGCCTTCCTTTCCTTTGTTGTTGTGGTCATTGAACCTTGTTGGAGCCGCATGCTTGATTAAATTGTTATTTTTTTAGAGCTTCTTATTTCATGTACATGTGGAGAAATCTCTTATCATCTTTCTATTAACTTAGTACTTGTTTGGCCCAGCTTATTTTGTGGCTTATCTATTCCAAAAAGTAGGTGGGTCAAATTCTAAAAATATTAAAAGACATTAGGTTAAATAAGAAGAAAAACCCTATTTTTCAAGAAGCAGCAACATGGGAGCTGTTGCCACAAGGCTTCTTCACAAACTCATAATTCATGTTTTTTTTAATCAAGTTGATTCTTGTTTTATTCAATTTCATGTATTCTTTTACTCATCTTTCTGCCTTGTACTTGTCCACATTTGTACTCACCTTTCCATCTTTTTAAAATCCTCCATTGGTCTTTTAAGTTTATTTTGATAATGAATTTGAAACCAGTATATCTAATTGATATGCTTTCTGGTTCTCATTTTGTAAACAACCTATATATGTTGTGGTTTACTGGTTTTAATATTCCTTTTTTTGTTTGTGTTAACAGAAGCCCCAACTTGTCAAAGGAAATATGCAACTATTCCCAGTGGATCAGCAACGTAGTCAAGCTCTTGAAGTCCATGCTGCATCATTTACCTCATCATTTCGAGTGAGAGAAGCTCCTTGCCACAAATCTTTTATTGACTCTGCTACCATATTTTTTGTTATAATTGGTGTTTAATTTAAACAGATGGCAGGAAATGATAAGGGTTCTATGCTCATTTCATTTGCAACAAAGACCTCATATGTAATTTCATTTATTGTTCTTTACAAGTACCGTAGTAATTTGTATTGTTTTAAAGTGTGTTGATGGATAAATTGTATTGTAGAGTAATGTTGATATGGATTTTAAGCTATAATAGGTACATGAATAAAAAAAAATTAGGGATTTTAATTAAAATAATAATTTTTTTTTTAAAAAAAAGTCATTCGCGACCGTTTCTAGCTTAAAACGGTCGCGGATGACTAATTAATAAAAAAAAAAAAAAAAAAAAAACGCGACCATTTCTAGCTTAAAATGGTCGCGTTTTGCATTAATAAATAAATAAATAAATACAATACGCGACCATTCTTTGTTAAGAATGGTCGCGTAGTACTAACAATGCGCGACCATTTCACAATGGTCGCGTAAAGTCGATGTCTTTCCGCGAGCCTCTCATAGGCAACCATTGTACAATGGTTGCCTATTGTCTTTTACAATGGTAGTGTATCTGCAATTCTATACCAGTGTCACAAAATTTCAGATGTGCCATTTCCATAATCTTTATTGCTAGACTGCATAAATTAAAGGACATAACAAACCTTCTTGGAGGATGGGCATGGGTAATCTTTGTTTACTACTATATAAGACATTCATTCTAAGAAATATTTAGGAAATAAATATTGGATTTATATGTATTTTTATTTTTTATTTTAAAAATCAAAGGAAACATATATTATAGCAAATTCGAAATACAATATGGAGGGATAGACTCCCACAAACCAAGGACAGGAAAAGAACCAGTTACACGTGCTAACACATGAACCACGTGATTCGCTGACCTTCTGACATGACGAATCACGATGTTCCCATGTTACAAGCAATTAAACGACATTGCTTAATAACCAAACTAACATATGGCAAGTCTTGTTTACCAGAATTAAAACTAGAACACAAATTAAGACAATCGGATTCAATAAAAAAATAAGTTTTCTGGCCGATTCTTGATCTAGGATAAAGCTTCCTTAAATGCCAAAGCTTCCGCGAGATACGGGTCGTTATATGTATTTGATTTTATTACTTTTTTATTATCGTAATCAATATTACTATAATTTAATAAATAAAGATTGGAGTTATATGTATTTGATCTTATTACTTTTTTATTATCGTAATCAATATTACTGTAATTTAGAAAATAAATATTGGAGTTAAATGTATTTGATTTTATTACTTTTTTATTGTCGTAATCAATATTTACTGTAATTATATTATAGAATTTTTCTATATACATATTTATAAATATTATGTGTATATACAATGTATTATACAATCATATAAGGAAATACATACATCCGATTAGAGTTTAAACTACTTACTCATACAAAATTTAAAATTTACATTTTTTATTGATTTTTTATGTATAATTCTCTTAGTTAGTATTCATATTTTTAGAATTATAATATATATGAAATACAATTAGAAATAAATCAACTTAATTATGTGATTTTTTTCTATAAATTTATCTAAATATGTACCTGGTTAGTGGTTATATAAAAAAAGTCAATAAAGTCGCTTGGCGTTACAGTATATAACCATCCTTCATTCATTCACTCACCCACACAACAACCTGCGATTACGACAAAATTATTATTAAAGAAAAAAAAAACCCAAAAGATGATAGGGTGGGACGACATATACAAGGTGGTGGTGGCCATGGCGCCGCTCTACGCAGCGATGGTCTTAGGTTACGGTTCAATTCGGTGGTGGCACATGTTTAGACCCGACCACTGTGGCGCCATTAACCGCTTCAACTGTTTCTTCATCCTCCCTTTCTTCACCTTCCATTTCATGTGCCAAGTCGACCCCTACAACATGAACTATCTGTTCATCGCCTCCGACGCGGTGGCGAAGGCAATGGTGGTGGCGGCGTTGGTGATATGGGCTAACTTCGTCAAGAATGGAGGGCTAGACTGGTCGATAACCACCTTCTCCTTGTCCACCCTCACCAACACCCTCGTCGTCGGCGTGCCGCTCATGCAGGCCATGTACGGGAAGCTGGGCTACGACCTCGTCCTCCAGGCGGCGGCGATTCAGGCGTTGCTGTGGTTCACGATGCTGCTGTTCGGGCTAGAGTTCCGGCGGACGCGGTTGGTGCAGATTTCGGCCGCCGCGGATAATGCGCGGCCGTCAATTGAGATGGGGAAAGATCTCGAGGGAAATGCGGAGGGCGGTGAAACTGAAACCGCCGCCGCCGCCGCTGAAACGCCGGCGGCTCCGACCAATGTTGGGCCGTCGTCCGCGTCGTTGATGAAAGCTGTTTGTTTCAAACTTTCCAAGAACCCTAATACTTTTGCATGTTTTCTTGGTCTGATTTGGGCACTCATAGCTAATAGGTATTCTCGAATCTCAATGCTGATCAACGCCAGTACGTTTTACACGAACTCGAGTATAATCTGGATACTATAAATTTTGTTTAAAAGACACTAGTACTAATCATATTGATATTTCATAATTTTTTATAGAGTAAATACCAGCAGAGGTCCTCTGATTTTGGTGGCACTGTCACTTTTAGTCCTCAACTTTAAAATCAATCACTCTTAGTCCTCTTATTTTTTGTTTCTAGCCATCTATGGTCCTTCCGTTAAACTTGACCATCTAATGCTGTTTTCTCAAGGATAATTCAGTCATTTCATAATTAATTTATTAATTATTATGTTTGCCGAGTCATACCGAGATATCCCGACATCGTTTTGGCACAACCTTCGTACCAGCTTTTGTACGCCATTTTGATTCACGGGCTGGTTTTGTACACGTTAATAGCTGGGAAACTATTGTTTGACTATTCTGATGAGGAAATTAAACATAATAATTAATAAATTAATTATGAAATGACTGAATTATCTTTTAGAAAACGGCATTAGATGGTCAAGTTTAACGAAAGGACTATAGATGGCTAGAAACAAAAAGTAAGAGGACTAAAAGTGGTCGATTTAAAAGTTAAGGACTAAAAGTGGCAGTGCCACCAAAGTCAGAGGACCTCCGCCGGTATTTACTCATTTTTTATATATAAATTAATTTAAGGTGATTAAATTGTTGAATTTAATGTCAGGTGGCATTTAACTATGCCTAGCATTGTAGACGACTCTATCTTGATCATGGCCAAGGCAGGCGGTGGTATTGCCATGTTCAGTACAGGTAATTAATCACATCATACCAATAATTATGTTTCAGTTGTGACAGATTACTAGCTAGTTACCTAATAGTATATTCACAATTTTTTTATATAGATGAATTCTTTAGACAAATGTTTAAAAAAAAAAAAAAAAAAAAACTGATTGGTGGAGGAAAAACGGTGCCACTAACGACACAGTTACTCCCAAATTGAAGAACGGCATCGTATTGGACCCGTGTCCACCTTGCAAGGTAGATACGGGTCCATAGCATAACAATTGGTTAACCTATTAGTTGGGTAATTATAACATTTCAAGTTCGAGTCCAATCACTTGTCAACTATGGACAACTTAAGTTGTTTTAGGTCTTTATAAATTAGTGCTTGTCCAGTGCACAACATCAAATAGTGGTCAATAAAAGACTCTCCCGGTTAAACATGCCAGGTTTTTCTAGTGTGATTTTATATAAAATGTTAATTCCTCTCGCAGATAATGACGGCAGATTTCTCACCTTAACCAAAATATTATATATATATATTCCATGTCATTGCGAACATGTTCACCAATGTTGTTAATTAGCTGCATTTTCCCTAATTAATAATCTTTAATTTTTTTTTTTTTTGCATGTTTTATAGGGCTTTTCATGGGGTTGCAAGACAAGATAATATCTTGCGGTGGGGCTTTAACCGTGTACGGTTTAGTTCTCCGGTTCCTAGTCGCACCGGCTACCTCGGCGATCGGTGCCGGATTGTTACGCCTGCACGGTGACGTCTTGAAAATAGTTATAGTCCAGGTAATTGATAGACAACAATATAATATTAATTCAAGTAAAAAACAGAATAAGTTTTTGTTAATTAATTAATGTGATTGATATTCTTCTATATATGTACAGTCTGCGTTACCGCAAGCTGTGGCGGCATTCATTTACGCCAAAGAATATGGACTGCATGCTGACGTTCTCAGCACAGCGTAAGATTTTTCATTAAATAAAAATATTTAAATTTTATTTCAAAATTTATAATAATTCTTCCAAAAGGCTGAACCCCAACCCTACAAAATTTATAATAATATATATACATGTGGGGAATTTTAATGTATATTTTTCTTTGTTTTAATTTGTGCAGGATTATCATTGGCACCCTCCTTTCTTTACTGGTGTTGATCGGATATTACGTTATTCTTGAACTCTTACCTTAATTAATATCTTTATGGGACATCCTTAATTAAAATCTGTAAGGGACATTTTCAAGAGATGTAACATTACCTAGATTGTAAAATCAATGTTTTATTATTTTTTTTATATGAAATTACTAATTAAAGGTATTTGTGACAATAGCTTATTACAGTGGTAGCAGTTGACTAGTTGATGACCAACAACAGCACTAGCAATAATAATATAAGTAATATATGTAATATAGTGTTGGAAAAAGGAGTTTTATTTGACAAAATGAAAGCAACTTTTGTTTTGCTTAAAATGTCTTCTTTTTTTTTTCTCTCTAAATAAAAATTGATGGAGATATTAATATTGTAATAAGGATTTTTTTTTTAAAAAAAAATGAGTTGTAAGGTAATAACATATTCAATCAACCCCACCCGGGCCCGTCAGAGCATCTGGGAGGTTGTAAATCATGGTAACTCACAGAGGCTAGACATCTACTTACTACGCACAAGAAGTCCCCCCTCACTTTGAGAGGTTGCTCCCACACTGTTGCTGGCTGGTGAGACTCGCACTACAAGAAATTTCACATTTAGTGACAATAGAAGTTGTCACCAAAACTATCGATTTAGGTCACTATTGAAATTAGTGACCAATTTTTGAAGTCGTCACCTGTCGTCACTATATCCTCCGTCACTATTGTAGTAGTGACGACTTTTAGAAAACTGTCACAATTACTGCAGACTTTTGTGACAATGTATACGCTCACTAAAAGTAGTATTTGAGTGATTATAATAGCGGTCACAATAAATGTACATTTTGTGACCA